CCTGTGCAGTCATATTTACAGCAGTCAAGATGAAAGTTGCACAAATGTAAATTTTCATGCACCCAACATACAAAGAAGTTGGTATGTTCCCATTTTGAGTCTTTTTAGGGTTTTTGGTCAAGATGAAAGTTGCACAAATGTAAATTTTCATGCACCCAACACATTGACATACAAAGAAGTTGGATGTTCCCATTTTGAGTCTTTTTAGGGTTTTTGGTCAATTACTCCTCCGTATTTCAGCCAATTTACATGGGATTTTTTAAAAAGATACCATTTGACGTGTCTTAAACAGAGATATAGACAATTTTGGAATTTTTGTCTATTCCTCAATTTTTCAGCGAGGAAAGCACAATTTGGGGTTTTCTTCAACTGTCCCTGTGTATGTCAGCCAACTTGCATGGGATTTGGTACAAAGATACATTCTTGCAGTTCCCGAGCAGTAATTATAGGCAGTTTTAGATTTTGATGTTTTTTCCACATTTATTCTGGTGTCAAAATTGGGATTGCGTGGCGGAGACGTGTTACATTCGCCCACGAATGTTGGCCTTTTTTAATTCTACAACTAAGCAAGTGTAAACAACCAGTGAATGTCAGAATAATTTATTTTACCAAGCTCAATGTAAGCCAGTTATTTACTGATGGAAAGTGCAGCTACAAATTACAACTGTATTGATTCAAAAAGAACAGTTTTACAGCGTTCATCCTTCTTGGCTGTAACATATACGCAGTGGGGGGGGGGGGGTGCATTTGCCGACTGGCGCCGGGTTCGGGTGGCGCCAAATGAACAACCAGTTTACCCAGAATTTAGCTGTTCGCATAAGACTAAGGTTCATTAAAATGTTTTTTTTTCTTATGCTTGACATCAATATTAGTATATCATCTGAAATATGCCTAGAGAAGTTCCTTGTTTTTCAATGTTAGATTTATTAAAATACACTGACATCTCATACTTGATAGGAAATAAAAACCAATGAAAAATACCCCCATTCACCACAAGATCCTTTTCCATGGAACCAAGTTATTTTTTTTACTCTGTGCCGCTATATTGTCTTTCAAAGATCAGAACAATATGGTGAGTTATAGTACCATGGTAGGTAGGGTTGCCATGTAAGGTTAGAAGTTAGAAAGTATGAGTGTAAAGGGCGGGTAGAGTCGAGATTGTCTTTTTTGGGGGGCGCCAAATTATGTTTTGGCCCCGAGTGCCTATACGATTGAGACAGAAGTGGAATATTCATAGCTTCATTTCTATAGCTGTTGACTGGCTCCTCGAATTTTTTTACGAATTCATCCGTCCATCGGGATTAAGGTATAATACTGGGAGGGTCAGGTGCATCTGACCTCTTCCTCCCACTATTAGATGTTATCCGCTTCTGTCGAATACTAATATAAATACTACGTGTAGGTATTTACATTTATATTCATATGAATAATACATTTACGCTTAGTTCGTAATTTCAAAGTCCTTCACTTCACGAACAGTTCATGTGTATTTTCACATTCATTAGTCTTACTCTAATTAGAGAGCATTTACATATATAAACCCTTTTTAATGCTGTCTTCTTAGTTTAAAACTAACGTAGATTTCTAAGTCTAGCATTTGGTGGCCTTATTAAATGTTTATTTCTAATATAAATATTTACTGGTGAGAGGTGCATAGTACTACCGCCATTGTGTATGCAGAAGTGATGTAGTTCACACAAGATCATCTTTTTTTCCAGTTTTTCGCGAGAAGTTTTGTCACAGATATAACATCTGAATTTAGCACAGTGGACCAGGCATGGTCTCATGGTTAGCTAACTAAACTGTGAATCTGAGGGCTCCTGGTTCGCGTCCCTTTGAAGCATAATTGCACTCCGAACTTTGGACGACTGTGGGTGCATTATATGAGTAATGTTCAAATCCCTCTATATTTGTTTAGAGTAGCCCAAGAGTTACCGGTGGGTGTTATTGACTAGCTGCATTCCTTTCTTCTAGTTTATGACTCTAAAATTAAGGACGGCTAGGACGCATAGTCCTTGTATACTATTATGCGAATATCAACAAGCAGAACAAACATAATAAGGTGTGAATAATTTCATCAAATTAATATCACCATAAGCAAATGTAAATTAATAAACCATAGTATTTAAAAATAAATTCTAAATTGTAATGTATATGAGCAACTATTTTCGCGCGTGTGTGCTCTTTTGATTGATTCAAATAAATTAATAGTGATTTACGTGGCATCATTTTCTGCATTATGACATGATGTAGGTGTAATTGGATCAATGATATATCCACATATATAATCTGTGACTGTGTGTGTGTATAAAAATGAAAGAACCCGTTTCTTTAATCATTAACAGATGTTTTGTCAGAACAGGCTTAAGACATAAAGATTCTGCAGTTTTTAATTTATATTATAAATATTTATACGCTCATAACTTGCAGTAAAGATGGAGAAAATAAATTGCTAATTGTTTTTACATGTTATTGCCAAAGTTTCGTTGATTATTATTGTATACCTAATAATAAAAACGTAGAAATAATATGAGGTCTAAGTAATACATCTTTGGTAGTAAGTATCACTGTATAACGGTGGTTAAATTTTCTGTACTTCTCTCCAAGGAAGCAGTGTTTACTTCGGGGTCTCCTAAGATATCACTGATGGATCGTCGACCTTCCTCCTTACCGTCCAGTCTCTCTGTCTCTGATAGCAGCGATCGGGATATCTGCCGGATCTGCCACTGTGAGGGAGATGTGAACATGCCACTTATTGCTCCTTGCCCGTGTTCAGGAAGTCTGAGATTCGTCCACCAGGATTGTCTTCAACGGTGGATTAAAAGTTCCAATACGCGATGCTGCGAGCTGTGCAAATTTGAGTTCATCATGGAAACCAAGGTTAAACCCTTTCGTAAGGTTAGTACATACGGTCCTATTACGTTTTGCATAACGAAAAAAGACCTAGTATTTCAGTATGTGATGTTAAGATTGACTTTACTGACTGTATAATCTTGTGGTGACTTGTGAGATATCGTATAAACTTGCTCATATTACAGTATTGGCCCTTTTCCATCAAACATGCCTTTAATATCGAACCCGCCCACTTTCAGTCAGTCAGTAAACGTCGCATTTTTTTTTTAACCTCAAGCCCTAAAGTTACTTACTTGTATTACTTGGTTCTGTTATGTTGTTTTGATTTAACCCGAACTGTAGTACTAACAAAAAGGTACTGACTCAGTTTCTTTGCCTTTCCTTCTTATCTTATATTTCTTGGCAAATGACATTAATCAAACAATAACTCTCAGACACTAAAGTGGATGTGTGGAAGTATAAACATTGTACATTATTCTAGCTATATTCCAGTACCTCTTTTGTTTTTCTTAATAAAATATATCCATAATCTGCTTCTATACAACTGCTGCTTTGTTTTTGTACGATAAATCGTGTTTACTAAAGTCTCAAAAAAATGGCTCATTTTTTAACAATATTTGAGTACACTGCCTTTTGTAGAAAAAACGCAAGTGTGGAAAACGACGTTTCGAAAGTCTTCCGTCTTCAGGTCAAAAATGTTTATTTACGGTAATAATATTTAAATGAGCATTCGTACCATTGTAGTGCTAGAAAAGTATATACACAAAATTGCATATAGTACATGTATATTTTTTAATGATGTCAGATTTTTTTAGCTTATTTTGAGTCAAATCGCAGTGCTGTTATTGATTACATTAGGACCAATTAGGGGGGACAGAAGGGCCATTTGATCCGGGAATCAAGGCCAAAGGGGGCCTCAAATTTAGAAGCTTGTTTTTTTTTTTTTGCATTTGTTAAGTTTCGCGACATGTTTTTATGTGCTCCTCAATCAGCCAAAATGGCAAAAGAGGGCCTGGATTACATTGTTTTGTTATTCGTATCCACAGGTGAAACACGTTTATGTTCTAGTTATATACAGTTCTGAAAGTTCCTTGTCTTTGTGGCAAGGTTTCATTATTTTAGCTTTCGTTTCTTTTCTCCCTTCATAATCATTCATATATAAAGAATATTGATTCTTAATGAGTGATTTTATTATCTGTCTGTGTGCATACTCGTTTTTTGACACATATTTTGCTGCAGCATGTAAATTTTGTATTCATGAAGAATACACACAACATCTAACATGACTTTCTTTTCTTTCAAAAGTTTCATTAAAGTTTGGAAATTCGGCTTGAGGTTTTTTTGCTTCAGCAGGAATAAACTAAGTACAGTTTTGAAGTACAAGGTCAGCTTTGAATTTTGTAGCTTACTAAGTAATTACCAGCTTTGTCATACATCCGGATTTTGTTTTTTGGAAGCTCTGTTTGATGGCAGCACCTGAGCTCCTATAGTAAACTTGTGCACGCTATTTCATAACGAACAACGACGTCATTACCAGCTCTATTGTACATACGTTTTTTCCCCTCTTTGTTTTTTTTTTGGAAGCTCTGTATGATGGTAATTCCCGTGTTCCAATAGTTAGTGTACACAGCTGTTTCGTTTCAATTATAAGTGTAGTATTTACAAGTTAAAAGCGAATATTCTGGCAGTGTTTCAATTTTATACAAATCTGCTACATTCTGCATATCGTGATGAAATAGTTATTTTTTGGTTTAGATCGCTTTCTTTTATGCTATCTTTTTGGACAACAAGGATTTACTTTTTCCAGTTTCACGACATAATAGTGTTCGACTGATATCAACTCTCACTTGGTGGTTAGGGCGCTCGACTCGCATTTTGCAGGTCACCGAACATGCCCGCCTTTTCAGCCTTGGAAGTAAAAGAGTAGCCCAAGAGTTGACGATGGGTATGTTCACTAGTTGCCTTCCATACAAGCTATTACTTATAAATTAGGGACAGCTAGCGTATTTAGCCCTCCAGTAACTACAAACAAGTTAACAAATTACTTCTGACTCTGTAGTGTAAAACAAATCTTCTTTGTATTCTGTTTTCCAAATACAGTTATATGCCTATCCCCACTTTTTAAATATATTTTATATACAGGAATGTTTTTGAAATTTTACACTAGAATAAAATACTCACGCTCCGCTGCGGGGTTCTAAGGTTCCCTCATGATTCACAGAGGCCTCAACGTACCAGTCAAGCATTTCCATTATTTTAATTACTTCTATAGCTACCCCAACGCGCCAATCCTTTAATTGATTCGTCTGTTGCGATTTCTCGAACTTAGATCAATTCAAGTCTTTCTAAAAACAAAGTTTAATTGAGCTTCTCTGATTCATACTTTTCTTCCAGTTGTTTGTTGCCGTTTCCCAAACTTAATTCAATTCAACTTTTTATTAATTCACAGATTTTGATTTTTATTTCCATGTTTGTGTTTGAATTTTTCATGCGCCAATATTCTTTAACTATTTGTTTGATGCCATTTCCCAAACGTATAAATTATTAAAGCCTTATTTTTTAAATCAAATATTGTTATTTTTTACACTTTTAATTTACTTGTCTGAACTCTTATTGCAAAAACATCAATATTTTCCACTGTTTTGTTTGCAGCCTTTTCCCAAACTTAATTCAATTCAAAGTTTTGAAAGCAATAATAATAATTTTCACTTTTACATTCTCTTTTTTTTCTTCTTCTTATTTTCTCTTTTCCACTAATACAGATGGAAAGTAATTTCAATTTTATTTTTGAGTTTTGCACCTAGCTGGTTAGGATTCTCGACTCGCAATCTGAGGGTCGCGGGTTCGAATCCCCATCCCACCAAACATGCTCACCCTTTTAGCCGTGGGGGCATTATAATGTGACGGTCGATGTGATGTTGGTAAAAGAGTAGCCCAAGAGTTAGCGGTTGGTGGTGATGAGTAGCTGCCTTCCCTCTAGTCTTACACTGCTGAATTAGGGACGGCTAGCGCAGATAGCTCTTGTAGCTTTGCGCGAAATTCCAAACAAACCAAACCAATTTTTGACCTAGCCGTCCCTGCGGCCGGCGCTGTTGCTGATGTCATTTCCTCAGTTTTTTTTTTTTAAAGCATGCAAAATAGGCAGAAGATTGTATAAATTCGAGGACAATTAAAAAATTTTAAATTTGTTGTCTTTAATTGTTTTGTTTGATGTCATTTCTCGAACTATATATATAACTTTTCTAGTATTTTGAGGGTCTTTTAGATGGGTCCTGGGAGGCCTTGATGCCCTTGTTTCCTTTCCTGTTGATTTTGACTGGGTAAGAAATGTTTGGCTCATTACTCTATTGAATTTTCTACATTTTTGATAAGATATCTCCATTTCACCCTAATTTTTGACCAATTCTGGCAGATTTTTTTTTTCACCATTTTGTTATTTTTTAACAGTATTTGGCAAAAAAAATTCCACATATTGTTCATTCAGTACGTAGGAATTAGAAAAATACTTTCAGGTGGCAGAATTATGGGGCTATAGGGCAAAACAGTGGCCAAAATTTTTTGAGTTAAATCTAAAAAAAATAATACGCAGGTGCACACCCTCAAAATCCCCTTACTATGCTTGCAAGGTTTCAGATCTGTAGGTTCTTTCCTCTTGGAGCTATGGCGGTCACACACACACACACACACACACACACACACACACACACACACATACACACACAGACGAGGTCTTAGTTTATTATTATTAATTATACTATTT